GGGACACTGGTGCTGCCCAGGTCACACCCTGCACCCTCTCAGCCCATTTGTCTCTGTTGACACTTGTGACAATTGCCTGATTAAGGACATTCCCAGCCCTCCCTCCCCAATGGATTTCTCCCAATCTTGTAATTATTCTGCTCCTCAGTTTAACAAGGTTTTAGCTTAGTTTACCAAGGTTTTAGCTAATCCTGCCCAGATCTGAAATGCAGGCCAGAGGAGCTGCAGGAAGGGGCAGCCTGGATTCCCCACCCCAGGACACACAGCCCAGTAGCCCCAAGCTCATCAGCCTTTCCTTTTCCTTTGGTAGCCACAGATCATTTCAAACTCTGGCTGTGTTTCCATTTCCCACCCTGGGGTTCTGAGCAGACACAAAGCAGCTCCCTGTCCCCCATGCTGGGTCACCTGCACGTTGAGTGGCACGAAGGACACCAGGCTGTAGTCCTGGATCACCTCCACCAGCTTCTCGTTGAGACGGCGGAAATTCCTGAAGAAAGGATCGGAGGCCAAATGGTCCACGAGGTAGGAGAGGTCCAAGACCTCGGTGTAATAGTCCAGGTTGAAAGCTGCAGCACACAGGGGTGTGTGAGGGCAGGGGAGGCTGCAGAGCACCCTGACATTCACACCCAGACACTGATCTGCACTGACACGGCCCAATTCCACCTCCCTCCCCTCAGATTGCTCCAAATGTCCAAGGATGGAGCTCTGGGACAGTGGAAAGTGTCCTTGGCACAGCAGGAAGGTGGAAGGGATGAGGTTCAGGTGGAAGGGATGAGGTTCAGGTGGAAGGGATGAGGTTCAGGGTCCCTTGTCCCTGTGGAATCACTCACCCAGCTTGCCGTACTGCTCGATCAGGTCCATCTTGGACAGGACGTTGATGTGGGGCAGCTCCACGTGCAGCATGGTGGACAGGGAGGTGCAGAGCACTGAGATGAACTTGCCAGGGTCTGTGCAGTAGTGGGAATCCACCAAGTGCACGGCAGCCAGCTGGGGAAAGGCACAAAGGGACACAGGGTCACACTGGGACAGGGCCACCCCGCTGCTGGTGGGACAGGACAATGTCCAGAGCTGCTGTGCCAGCAGGGAAATCACCACCCACCTTCCAATTCCACATACAACACACAGCATCAGGCAAACCTGGAATGGTTTGGGTCTGAAAGGACCTTAAAGCTCCCCAGTGCCACCCCTGCCATAGCAGGGACACCTCCCACTGTCCCAGGGTGTCCCAAAGTCCAGCCTGGCCTTGGGCACTGCCAGGGATCCAGGGACAGCCACAGCTTCTCTGGGTACCCTGTGCCAGGGCTCCCCACCCTCAATTCCTGCCCAATATCCCATCCATCCCTGCCCTCTGGGCACCCATTCCCTGTGTCCTGTCCCT